AGCGCCGCGCGGGCCAGCCGCCCTTCACCCCCGAGGTTCTGACCGAGGCCCTCAACACCCACCTAAGGCACCCCGCCATCCGGTGAGCACCCCGCCATCCCGTGAGCACCCCCTGCTCTGACCTTCGCATCCATCGCGGGTAGAGGTGGGATCAGGGAGGACTTTGTGTCTGGACAGACTCCCTTGGGGTATTGGGGAGATACCAAGGGGACACGTGTGTGTGTGTGGGGGGGTGTCATTTCCCCGTGTTCCTCCCACAGGGTCCTGCAGGCCTTCCGTGTGCCCAGTGACTTCCATGCCCGCTACGCTGCCACATCCCGGACCTACATGTACCGCCTGGTCACCGGCTGCCCCCGGCACGACCAGCTGTCCGTGTTTGAGCGAAACCGATGCTGGGCCGTGCACGCAGAGTGAGTGGGGGTGTGGCAGTGGGAGGGGGGCACGGCCCACCTGGCTGGCCACTTCCTCCTGACCACCCGTCTGGCTTCCTGCAGCCGCCTGGACGTGGCTGCCATGCGGGAGGCTGCCCAGCACCTCCTGGGGACACACGACTTCAGCGCCTTCCAGTCGGCTGGCAGCCCCTCTGCCAGCTCCGTGCGCACACTGCGCAGAGCCTCCGTGTCCCCAGACCCCGCCGGTCCCCTGGTCCTGCCCCAGGAGAGCAGGTGAGGAGAGCAGCCTGTGGGCTGTCTGGAGGCCACGGGGGCTGCATGAGGCCCAGCGCCTTCCCCCAGGGCAGTGCCGAGGCAGGATGTGTGGGCACCCGCTGGGGGCGTGCTGGGCAGTTGGAGCCTCCCCCCAGGCCGGGGACCAGGCCGAGGCTGCTTTCCCTGAGGGCTCCCAGCCCTGCCGAGCTCACTGCTCAGGGTGGGTCCTGGCAGCTGCTGACAAGGTCCTGCTGGGGGAGCACCAGGCATTGGTTCCGGCCCAGCCTGGCGGTTGGTTCCACTGCCCCCAGCACTGTCCCACGGGCCCCTGGTCACACGGCAGCTGCTGACTTCTAGAACCTTCCTAGTGGGGGCCAGCTCTGGAGGGAGGAGGGACTGCTGCAGGGTCAGCCTTAGACTCACATCAGAGCTGATGCCAGGACCTTTGCATCTCCCGAGGCCCTGCTCCCCAGCAAGGCCCCCAGGCTCTGCTGCCCCTCCTCTCACAAGGGATAGTTGTCTGGTTTTACAGCTCCCGTAGGAGGCCCCTGGGGTGGAAGAGAGGGTGGGTACATCTCTGGGCCCTCTGCCCTGCCCAGCCCACTTCTCTTGTCTGGGGCCAAACTAGGCCGGGCTGCCCTGTGGCCCCGACATCACAGGTGCCTGTGTCCCCAGGAGGTTGCAGTTCTGGAGCTTGGAGTTTGAGAGCCAGTCCTTCCTGTACAGACAGGTGGGCGGTGTGCTGGGGCCCCCCCCGGGGGGAGGTGGGAACGGAGGCCCAGGTGGCCGCTCAGCCTGGGGTTGCAGGTGCGGAGGATGACAGCGATCTTGGTGGCCGTGGGGCTGGGGGCTGTGACCCCGACTCAGGTGAAGAGGATTCTACAGAGCCGGGACCCGCTGGGCAGGCACCAGACACGTGTGGCCCCCGCCCACGGCCTGTTCCTAAAGTCGGTGCTGTTCGGGGGCCTCCGAGACCTCGGTAAGCGGTGCCTGGGAAGGCCCTGCTTGGACCCACTGATGGGCCCCGCTCCAGGCTGGGTCCTGTGGGAGGCGGGGCCCGTGCTGCCACAGCCCTCGTCTCATTCTAGCAGTTGGGAGTCCAGACTGTGCCCAGCAGGAGAGCCAAGGACCAGGGGGCAGGGAGGCTCTGGGTTCACCAGACGACTTCAGGCTGGAGACCAGCGGCCCGAAGGCAGGCGGCCTGGAGTGAGGTGCCCATGCCCCTTAGAGCCAGAGCCCCCTCAGCCCCCCCACCCCCCGAGTCCCCAGTGCGGGAGGGAGGCTGAGGGGGGGCTCCCAAGCTGACCTAGGATCTGCCCGCAGGTCCTGCCTCCAGCAGTCCCAAAGCTTCCAGCCTCGAGGTTTGCAGGCTCCATAGCACGGAAGCCACAGGTGGCCCCCAGGTGCCAAGCCAAGGCCAGAGCACCCGTGGCTCACTCGGCCTGGCCACTGGACCCTGCCTAGCTCTGCATGCCACGCGCCCGGTGCTGCCAAGCACTCAGCTGCCTGGGGCCACAGCCGGCCTCCTGATCCCCAAGCCCCCAGCACCCTGGGTGCCCTTCTGCCCCGGTGGGCAGCCCTGGGCGTAGGTGCAGGAGACAGGTGTGAGCACCAAGACGGAACACAAGCAGCCGTGGGGTCTGTTACTGAGACTAATATCCTGGCGCAGACATAGAAATAAAACGTGAAGAGGTCTTCAGGGTTATTTATTTCTTCCACCCAAAAGGCCACTCGGGCAGACATGTGGCACTGGTGTTGCCCCCCATGAGGCTGGCCTGCTGGGGGCCGCACGTGCACAGAAGGAAGCCCAGGGCACAGACACTGTCCTGCAGTGGAAGCCCAGGGCCCCTGGCTGGGCGAGGGAAGGGCAGGCAGCCTGCAGCGGTCAGCTGCCTCCGCTGGGGGCGGGGGGCAGGCCCTTCTTGAGCAGAGATGTGAGGTAGCTCCCCAGCTCTTCGTCCTACAAGGGGACACAGGAGTCGTCGTCCCGTCCTCCCCACCTAGGCAGCCCAGGCTGAAGGGGTGACCCCGCCTGTCCTGACCCACTGCCCGGTGCCAGCTTCCTGGGTCCTGCACGTACCTGGTAGGTCCAGGAGACCAGCAGCACCTTGGTGCCTGGGTCCTCAGAGTGGGCAGCAGCCTGGATGAGGATGGACTCGACGGTCACCGAGCCGTCGGGGAGGTGCTGCACACAGTGGTCCTTGAGGAGGCTGCGCGGAGACATGGTCAGGCCCCACCTCCTGCCTGAGAGCCGCTGCCCGCCCCCGCCCCGCCCCCAGGGCCAGGCTGCGCCCACCTCTTCAGGTGGCTGTAGACTCGCATGGCCGTCTCCTGCTCCTTGCGCGAGTCATGCAGGTGCACGCGGCAGGTGAAGCGCAGCTGGTGCTCGGCCAGGCCCAGCTCCTTGAGGGCCTGCTCAGAGGACACCAGCCGGAAGTTCTGCGGGGCAGGGTGACGTCAGAGCACACCAG